CTGAACATCTGAAATCTCAAATTTAGAGACAGTTGTATAACTTGGGTTACAGTCAACAGGCAGAAATAATTGGATACAATTCATTAAGCCTTGATGGACATTCATAGGCCAGTATAAAGTAACAAACAGAGGAAGTCAGCTAACTGTAAGAGCTGGTGATGAGAAAATAAAAAACATTAAGATTATAGAAGAGAAGAAAAAATGAATAGGGAGAAAATAAGAAAAGATGTTGTATATGACCTACCTACACTTATCATCTGAATAAGAAGAAACAATGGAAAATATATTCAGCAAATTCTAGTGGCCCTGGACTCACAGCTATCCTACATGTGGTCAGTAGTGTGCCAGGAACAGCTCGACTTGGTTTGGGAAAAACCAATTAATTACTTGCAGTATTCCCCACTCCCAGTCTGCTACAAACCAGGGTCTCCTTGTCACATAGGAGGAAGACACCAGAAAAAGGCCACTGAGATCAACAAGCACACTAACAAAAGGAGCTACCTTTGAGACTATCTAGAGGAAAAAGGAAAACAAGTGCAACAGTTATGAGAAATGACGAAACCAAGACAAACAAGATACTGAATTTAAAATGAGGGAGAACATGATAGAAGGATTATTCTGTCACAGAGCTCTGGTCATATATTCCAATCCATCAAAACAAACACATAACATTAAAATTTAAAAACTATATTCAGCAGCATATGATCACAAGTCCCACACTACAGGGGAAAGGGCTGGTGGCAGTGTTTTGGTTTTGTTTTTTGGTTTTTTTTTGGTAGCATAGATCAAACTCAAGACCTTGTGCATCAGAACCACTGAGCTAAATCCCCAGCCCCAGTGTTTTGGTTTTTAAATTGAATCTTATTTACTATCTCCATTCTGGCTTTAAAAGGACAGAGGGAAAATTCTGGTTCCTAGTAATTTGCAAAACTGCAAAATTCACCTGCAAAAATATGAAAGCATAACTGCAATCACACTGTTTTAAATCTTTGATGTCTGGATTATTCATAGAAATGCAGCATTTCACAAGTGCAAAGGATCTTAAAAGAGATATACCCACTTATTTTTGCTCTGAAGAAATTCAGGCCTGCAGAGGGCAACCTGTCAGAAATGATAGCTGTAGCTGGCAGAGCTAGTTCCGGAACCTTGGGCACCTGCTGCATTTGATGCCATCTTCTCAATTCAGGCTGTACCCCAGGGCAGTAGTTTCCAAAACTGAGCAAGCACAAGTAATACCTGAAGGCTTATTAAAACATCCCACAGACTCCACCCTCAAAGTTTCTCAATCAGTAGTGCTGGAGGGAAGCTCGTGATTTTATATTTCAGTGATCTGAGGGTTCAAATTCCACCCCAAGGTCCCAGGAGTTCTACTCAAAGTAGAGCTTTGGAGTAAGTCTTCTGAGTTCTAACTTCTGGTCTGCCACTTCTGAGAGGACTTTGGAAACATTACCCACTCTCTAAACCTTAGCCTGCAATATCCAAGTCTAGTTCACAGGACTGAAGCAAAGAATGCTTGTTCTTGCACCTGGAATATTTTTTTTCTTATTTGGGGGTTGGGGATTGAATCCAGGGCCTTGTACATGGTAATATCCTAGCCTGACATATTCTAAGGCAAGAGATTAATAAACAGTAGGTACATTCTATATTATAATTTCCCCAATTAAATTTTTCCTATGAACACTAGAATGGCTAAATTTCAAAAGATAAACAAGATCAATCAAAGATTGGCAAAGATATAAATCAATGGAATATCTAAAGGAGCTCTAGTCATAATAATCATAGTAAACAGGTCCAAAGGGTAAGGGAAAGTGGGAGGGGTAGGGAAAAGGAAAGGGAAAGAAATAAATACAAGAAAAGGGAAAAATGGAAACAAAGTCTTTGTAAATACAGAGGGGTAGAGGGGTTGAAGGGAAGGCAGGGGAATAGGAAAAACAAAAAAAGAACCAGGATATATCATATAATGGCACAAATTCCCAATGATGCATGTCATCATATTATATACCTAAAATATACCAATAAACTCAATGAGAGAAAAGAAAAGAATACTTTTCAGCAATAATGAAGAACCAAGAAAATGATATGTAACATGAAATCTCCAAAATACTTTGTTGCATGTAAACAGCCTGAGGCAGAAAGTACATACTACATAATTTCACTCATGAAGTTCAAGAATAGTCAACTAAATAGTGAAATAAATGAAACAGCCTTTTGAAGTGGGAGGACTTGACTGGAAAGGGGCATGAAGGAAATTTGTGGAGTAATGGAAATGCTTTGTATATTGATTTGAGTGATGACAACATGAGCATATATGTCTGCGAATACTTGTAAAAGTAGATTCTTAAGATCTGTGTAACCATGACTTAAATATTACACAACATATATATATATATGCATAACATTACATGGTACCCATTAATACGTATAAATTTTATGTTTTCATATATCAGTTAAAATTAAATTTCTAAAAAATCATTTTTAAAAAAATCATATTACTGCAGGTAAATACCTTAACATGTATACATAATAACACATATATAACTAACAATGTGAAAATACATTAAGTATAATTTTTTAGGCATTTTGTGACAAAGGGCTGTACTCTCCATTTAAAATGAACCAGCACTAACCCAGTGGGTCCATTTACATTGATTCCTTCTAGTTCAGTCCCACCTTACATAATCCCACTTGTTACAGACTATTTTGGTCCATCCATCTTTCCAGAGAATGACCACAAAATAGAAAGAACAGAATCTTCCCCCAGAAGAAGACAATGATGTTTCCTTACAGAAAAAATCCAGAGTGGCCCTTGAGGATCTAACAACACAAAGTAAGGTTTTTCTTTACTAAATGCCAAGGATGAGCCTACCTAATATAAGACACAGTAACAAAGACAAAGTAAGACACAACCCTGTTGTCTAATTTAAATTATAATTTCAGTATAAAAGAGGGAACAGAAAATTGGTGAAATGGTTTCTAGGGCCACTATTACTGGTAATGAAGCGTCAGACAAGCTAACTGTCCTCATGTAATTATTACATGAAATAACTTTCACACTGTAGTGGCTTCTAGAGTACCCCAGTTTCCCAATCAGCATCTTTTTTCTATCCCATTATAAGCAGATCCACACACATGCGCACACACATACTTCTGCTGTGAACAAAACCATGCACAAAGAATAGTCTTGGGTGGGTGAAGGAATGATCACTTGGAGACACAGGTTCCTTCAAACCTATCTGAGTAGCTTACCAAACTGTCCTCAGTTCCTTGCTGGAGGCAGCCCAGAGACCGCACCTCTCCAGGCTCTACTGGGGGAACCAAGGGGCTCAGCTACAGGCAGGATGCACACTGAAACAAACCCAACTCAGGACCTGTGAGATACCTCCAGACACCCCCATGGTGGCGGGGGGACAGCAGGTGCCCTGGCCTGGTCTTCTTCTGTCCTTAGTTCAAATTGCCCGGAACTGAGATCTGCAGCTGCTCCTATATCAACTGCCTGACAGGATTTTCTCTGGAGCTTTATCAACTCATAATCATCCAAGTAACGCATCAAATTTATAATCCACGTTCCTGGTTAAATAAATAACTGCTCAAGCTCAACTCAAACATAGCAATAATAGGTAATCTTTACTACGTACTTACTCTGTAGCAGCAACTGCTTGGGTACCCCCCCATTTGCTTATGTAATACCCACAAGCCAGTTTATAGCTAAGGACACAGCCGGAAAGGCAAAGCCAGAAGAGATGTGCAATGAATAAGGAACAGTCTCTCCCTTTAAAGAGCTCCTGTATAGAAATGAACACCTAACTTGGGAGTGCAAGGTAAAACACTGCAAGATACAAAAGGAGCACAGAGAAGGAAGTATTTGTTCATCATGGAAGTATGGTGGGGACTTGTGGGAGGAATGTCCAAGTGAAGGATAAGTGCACAAATTGAGAGAGCTTTTTATCGCTAAGGGTCAGCCCCTCAGTTCCCAAAAACCCAGGCCATCCCCTATCACCTCCTCCATTTCATCTGGAAGACGCCTGTTTTTAACAGAGGACCAGCTCGGCCCAGTCATCCTCTTTTGACACATTCCTCCAGCTACTGGCGGTTTTTATGCAGACATATGGAAACTTTTCATCATCTTGAACTCTGCCACCTCCCTTGGTGCTTTCACCCAGGAGAACCTGCATCACAGTGCTTGGCCGTACAAGGAATCCCCTTAAGGAGCATTCTTTGGCGATCAGACAAAGGTAGACCTTGAATATACTGAACAGAGATTCAAGGGACCTACCAGTTAGGAGGCCATCCCTTCTCTGCAGACCTCTGAGGGAGAAGCGTTGCTTCCCTTCCCTGTCACAAATCTGACCCTTCTTCCATTGCCTAAGGATGGAGCAAGGACTTGAACAGTTGGTAGTTGGGTGACCTTGGGCAAGTCACTTAATTGTCAGCACCAGTTTCCTTATTTGTGATACGAGATTTGTAAAATCCACTCGTTAGAACTGTGAATCTGAACAAGATACTACAAATAAAGGACTTTACAGAGAGCCTGGCACATAAGCTGATAACAAGAGGCAGCTATCTTATCAAAAGCTATGCCAACGACGGCAGGATAAACTTAGCCTTGACTCTCTCCCGCCGCACCTGGGCAAGGTGGAGGAGATAGGAGCCTGGTGAGCTCTCGGGCCGGCCACGGGCTCCGGAGTCTGCAAAAGGCCCGGGCCTGCCCAACTGCAGGGGTCGGTCGCAGGGTACAGCCAGTTCTCCGATGGAAGCGACTCAACAGCACCCTTGCCTTCCACGCGCCCAATCTTCGGTGTGGAAACTAAGCTGCGGCCAAAATGGTCAGCTGGACTCGGGGGACGTCCACCTGTCCCGCTTCAGCTGCCCAGCTTTCCTTCGGACTCGGGCCAGCCTGCGCGGCAGTCGGGTGAGACAAGTTCGCGGTCCGGGCCTGGAGACCTCTCCCGCCTCCCCAACTTCGCGCAGCCGCGCCTCGTGAGAAGGGCTCCGGGGCTTACCTTGTCGGACGGCTCTGAAGGTGACGGCCTCTCCGCAGCTGTCGATGACGCCTTGCACGTCGTAGCGGGGCAAGCCGGACACGCGCACCCCCTGCACCTCCAGCAGCAGCTCGCCCTCGCCCAGCC